TATATAGCCTAACTAGAATTTGAAAAATACGAAATCAAGCATATAAATTGGGAAAAAGTTTATTTAAAATTAATTAAGAAAAGAAAGGGTTCGAGCTTTTTAAAGCGCTTCATTTAGTAAAAACGTAAAATTGTAACAAATAGATTGCAAAATTAAAATATATAAATATAATTTGTTAAATATATAAATATATATATATAAATAGATATATAAAAAATAGATAATTAAATACTATATAAATATAAACGAAGCCTACCAGTAGATCAAGTGCTCTATCCTCTTCATAGGTGTAGTCATTCTCGTATCTTTTTTCAGCTACATATTCATCATCATTAAACCTGTCTCTTATACACATCTAGATGTGTATAAGAGACAGATTTCAGACTCCGCAAGAATTATTTAATATTTCTGTTGCCATTAATTCTGGGACAATCAACAGACTGGACTAGTTGGCAACGTTCCAAAAAGGTCAGCTGACGCGCCAGTCAAATGAAATATTTGTGTTTTTTTTTACAGACAATAAAGAAAAAGAACCAGAAATAACTGTTGTCGTGTTTTGTTTTTTATAATATCATTCACGATGTTAGTAAATATATAATGTGCAGTTTAATTTAACGTACATAGTATTTAATCATCGAGATATATTTTATGGTACTACTACTACTGTAGTTTGAATATATTATATAGGGAAGTACTTCCGACGAACCATGTGCTCTCGAGCGTCGATGGGTTCACGTACGTCACTGTTCGTAGAACTTGAAAATGGTACACTGTGACTTGAGTTATTACAGTGGAGAAGTATTAATTTAAATAATTATTTTCATTATCTTCAAAGCACAACAATAACAACATAACAAGACTTTGTAATTTATATTTGAGAATTTTATTAGCCAGAAGATAACGAAAATCAACTGAAACTTCGTCAAAATAAGGAAGTAAATATCGTGTCAATTTAACTACAGTAGCTAGCTAGTGGTTGCGTTGTGGGGTTGATTGAGCGCATGGTTGACGGTGTGGTATGTAATAAAAACAAACGCAATTTCGAAGCATGATTGATCCGAGGTAGGCCTAATTTTAGCAACCTTTACATAATTGTCTGATCGTACTGGACTGTTTGTTTAAAATAAATGATAAAATTGCTATCAATAAACAATGTTACATCTTGGAACCTGTGCTGCAAGAACTGTTTATTAACACTACGACAGCCTGCGACCCAGCCTCGTAGCTCATTAAAATAACAATGACCTTCATAGTGGTTCGTAGCTACATTCCAAACGGTACCTACAAGCAGGCTACGAGTGGTTACGCGCAGATACGAAGCGATTTTTCACGACTGTACTGTAGGTTAAGGAAGAGGCCTAAGCCTCTAATCTAGGCTAGGCCTAGGTAGGCAAAAAAAACCAACGATTATTCTTTTGTGTCCCAACGCCCGTACCTGACTTGTTGCACTTTTTTTTACTCAATTCTTAGGTTTAGCCTAGGGCTTGGCCTAAATAAACAGTACAGTATACCAACAGAAACACTGCCACTGCACCGTTGTCTTATAAACGCTGATACACTGAGACGCTGATACACTGAGACGCTGATACACTGGGACGTTGATACGCTGAGACAAAGATGACGTCATTGAAATTCACCGCAAAGTCATATGCACTGAGTGGAATCGAAAGTGCCGGGTTCTCCAGTACTACGGAACGTCCGTAGTTACTACGGAAATTCGGCCCAATTATGGACCTCCTACCTCAACGAAACTCATACTATAGGTCGTTTATATATTGGAAAGATCATATCTTGAAGTTGCGTCGAAAATGTGAATGTGGCCTTCCATATTAAATAAACTACACCCTCAATTGGACTAACTTTTTTTTAATTATTTTTTAACAACATAACGTATCATAAATATTCACATACATATTAATATTCATGATTGTTGTCGAACCCATAATTAAACTGCAAGAATATTATACCGAAGTAATTCTTTGGATTCACTTAAAACGTACAATAATATGGTATAAGTGTAGCTTAGCATTTTTGCATGTAGAGATGAGGTCACGTCGCGTTACACGGGTCAT